GCGCCATTTGGGACCCTCCTCCGGTGGCCGGGGAGCAGCCGGGGATTGAACTGGCGCCGCAGAGGCCGCAGGCAGCTTCGCAACCCAGCGCTCAACCGCTGCGCCACCGGGGAGACCCCGAAAGATTTATTAGCCTTTATACCTTAAACGACATACAGTTCTTGTGGAAGTTTCTGAACTCTACTTAAGAATGTTGGTTGGGCTGGAGGGAGTACAGGCACTTCTCTCTTCATCTCTCCACCCCCACTCACAAGCAATGAAAACCTGCTCCTTAACCGGGCCTATGAGAGCACTACCTCAGGCTTCCTTACTTCCAAGTCTTCAGCAACATCATACAGGTCCAATTCAGATAGCAGGAATATTTTCCTGAAGTCGGAGGTAGCACATTCTGTGTAAGAGTGTGTTAGAAGACAAATTATTATTCCCTGAGTTGGTGTCAGACCTCCGCTTTTCTCTTTTCCCCGCTAGGTGAGGAATGCGGCTCTTGGGAGGTGCTTCTTACAGGTGGGCTGCTTCCCTGTACTGAGAGATGTTTTAGAATTGAAAGTAAGCACTTATACAGTCTCACAGCATTTTGATACATTTATTGAATCCAATAAAATTTTGAATTTGTAGTCTTTTTATTTTTCTAGAAAGAACAGTATTTTTCTCTAGGGGTTGGAAATGAGAAAACAAGGTCTAGCCTTGTACAACAGATGATTTGAGAAACCCTGCTCTAGGCATAATTTCCAGATTGGAGACTGAGACTCTCTCTAAGCTGCCTTCCTTTTTCATTTTTCTTCCCTATTTAACCGCAGGAAGGGGATTTATTCTTCTTTACTCCCTAGTCCAAGAGCCTATACTTTCTAAAAAATTAATTTAAAAATTTTTTGATAAAATACACATAATGTAAAATTTGCCATCCCTAGCCATTTAAAGTGTGAATTTCAGTAGTGTTACATCAGCATTGTTATACAAGTAGTTCTAGACCTTTTCATTTTGCAAAACTAAAATTCTATGCCCTTTAAACAACGGCTCCTCATTTTCCCTCCTCCCAGGCCCTGGTACTACACTACCATTCTACTTTCTGTCTTATGAATTTCACTACTCCAGGTACCTCATTGAAATGAAATTATTCCATATTGGTGTTTGTAATTGACCTATTTACCTTAACACAATGCCCTCAAGGCTCATCTATATATAGCCTGTGTTAGAATTCCCTTCCTTTTTAAGAAGAATAATATTCTCTTTCATGTATGTACGCATTTTGCTTATCTATTCACCCAGGCATAGCCTATTCTAAGTAATGATGTGCTGAACATGGGGTTACAATATTTCTTTTAGAACCTGTTTTTAATTTTGAACATATATCCAGAAGTGCAATTGCTGGATCACATGAAATTCTATTGTTAATTTTTTGAAGGACCACCATACTGTTTTTCATGTGACTACACCATTTTATATTCCAACAGTGTATGAGAGTTCCAGTTGTTCTACATCCTGAACAATATTTGTTATTTTCTGTTGGGGATTTTTTTTTGGGGGGGGTGGTGGGGGGCTGGTTTTTATATTAGTAGCTATTGTGGTTTTGATCTCCATGCTCTGAGCCATCAGTCATGTTGAACATCTCTTTATGCTTGCTAGTCATTTGCATATATTTGGAGAAATGCCTATTCAATAGTTCTTTGCCCATATTTTGATTGGTTTATTTGTTTTGTTGTTGTTGACTTGTAGGATATATTCTAGATACGAATTCCATATCAGATAGATCGTGTGCATACATTCTGTAGGTTGCTCTTCCACTGTGTTGATTGTGTCCATTGATACACAGAAGTTTTTAATTTTGCTTTAGTCCTATTTACCTATTTTCCTTTTTTTGCCTCTGTTGTATCGAAGAAAGCATTGCCAAATGTCATAAAACTTTACCCTTAAGAGTCTTATAGTTTTTTCCCTTATGTTTAGGTCTTTAATGCATTTGAAGTTAATTTTTTATGTATATATAAGGGAAGGATCTGCTTTCATTTATTGCCTGGGGATATACAATTTTGTCAACAGCTTTTGTTAAAAGAAGCCTGGGTCTTACACTCAGTTATTTCTTGCCTGGTCACCAAAATGAAAGATGGTTGGTATACAAGTAATGCTGGGAAATTTTGGGTACTGTTTTATGCCTTCATTTTGGCAATTTGGGGGAAGGGGAGCATGGCTATTTGAAAACTAAGTGTGATGATTTAATGTTATACATATATAATATGGCTATTTTGCTGACCACATTGTTATTATTTCAAAAGTGGAATTTAAAATAAATTTCATGGAATTTCATAGAGCACCAACAACCTTCCAAAGAACTTGATATCCCCTAAACTAAAATACCTGGTGAGGACAAGGAAACTTGTGGTCATTGAAAGTGACAACCCAGTGAACCTAATGTAAAAATTTACTCTAAATGTTATTGAGTTCAGGGAGGTTGTTGGGGGAAGTTGCTTCTTAGAAAAACTAATATTTTCCTTTCCTTTTTTCTTGGCCGCTAGGAAAACTCAGTGCTAAATTTTATGGTCAACTGCACACCCTCTTATTCTTTGGTTTTTGACTTTGCATTCATTTGTTATGTTTTTATTTTCTTTATCAGTTTATTGTATAGGGTATAATTAACATAAAACAAAATATAAAATGCACCCATTGCAAGTTTTGACAACTGAAGACACATATCCAATAACCACTTCTGTCAAGATTATATTCTATCAATATTTCCATCCTCTCAAAACATGCTCCAAGCCTCTTTTCTATCATTATTCCCTTTCTGCCCCTTGTTAAATTGTTCCATTGATTCTATGCCCTTGGATGTTAGCCACCAACCTTCTGAAAATACTTTTGAAGTAGGTTGATAAAAGAATAACTGTACTTAAATGAAACAGTCATTTTAAGCCATCGTTCAATTTCTTTTTTTATTCAAAAAAAAAAAAAAAAAGCAGCATATACAACTTCCTTCTTAGTACTTAAGTCTCATTGCAACTAACATCCGTGAGCTGGTGTCTTATGAAGCATTGCCAGATATTTTTAGAAGACAATGTTCTTCTCATTTAGAATTAAATGTCTAATTCAAAGGATTTTAAAACAGACAAGTTTGTTCCTGAATGGATCTACCCATACCTGAGTGGTCAACATCTTTGTCAGAAGATGAACTCTATAATGAGCACCAGTTGCCTTGTAGCACGTTAGAAAGCTAGTGGTCTTTCTAGTTATTTAGTAAGTCATGACCTATGAAAATCTGTAGCTGTTTTTTGAAATAT